GGTAGAGAAGCCACTTACCAGTGCTTGGTAAGTAAGAAGTGCTCAATGCTGGTAAATGGACACTAAACTTGTAATTTTCTTTTTAATGATTCCAAGCCTTGGGTGCTTCTGCCTTCCTTAGGATCACTTCTATAATATTGAATGTGGTATAGAAAGAGAGCTATAAAATGGATTATATAATCCTCATCTGTCAAATTTTTATTAGAATATTGGGAAGTTTATTTCAGGAGATTTATAAAAAAAATCTAGGACTAAAGAAAATAGTAAAACCATGGCTTTTAAAAAGTAATTTAGCAGTTATTGAATTTCTACTATGTGCAGATCACTGGGATAGAAGTAAGTAAGATGAATAAGGCATGGGTCCTGTCTCTGAAGGAATTTAAAACTGGTCACAGACAGAGTGCACGGCATTTGAGAGAGTGGACACAAATGTGCGTAGCATGGACTGCCCATGGGCCTGGTGTTAGAGTAGCTGTGAGCTGTGCGCAAACCACTTGAGCTCTCCAAATCTCAGTTTTGCATTGTTGGGTGGTGATTGCTAGTATTTACAATAAAGATAATTATGCCTAATTCGTACTGTTTAAAAGACATTAAAATAAATAATGCAAAGGAATCACTCTGTTTTTAGCAGAGAGTACATATGCAGCAAACAACTGTTGGAAAACGTGGAGCCCCTTGCCTGGATGGCACGTTCACTGATACACAGGCTTGTACCCTCCCATAGGAGGCAGTGTTGGAAACCCTTTACATGCTGTGCCTGCCAGGACCTTGGAAGAGAAAAATAATCTGGGGCCCAATTACTCCTTAGAATGTTGGGCTGAATAACAAAGAGCAGCTGCCCTTTTGGAGGCCAGGATAGGGCTTCTAACGTGATTCCCCTACCACCTGTTTTGTTATGGAGATACAAAAAGAAAAGCAAAATATAAAAAAGGTAGCATATGTGTGGTTTCTGGTTTTGTTACATGTTTCGGGCTCTGATGAGGCCATCATGCTGTGAGCTGGTTAAGTCAGGGAAGGCTTCCCGGGGCAGCAGAAGGGTAGTGAGGAGGGGCAAGCCACCTGTGAAGTGACAGGCAAAAGTCCAGGCTGAGAGGCACAGACTTGGGGGAGGCCGCCCTTTGTGCTTGGGCCCGGGGCAGGTCACCGAGGCCCCCTGAGTCTCAGTTTCCATTCCTATCAACCGAGAAGGTGAGATTATATCCGTAATTCTCAAATCTGGAAGGCCGTCACTTTCCTGTGGAGAGCTTCCTCTTAAGAGGCCCAACCTCAGAACAGGAAGGTCTTTTGAAAAGCACCCTGCATAGTTTTAAGGTGCAGTCAGGCTAGAGAAGGAGCAGGTGATCTCTTATGCTCTATAGAAAAGATGTCAAAGGCCACCCAGTCTAGCTGGACTGACGAGTGGGTACCTGGGTATGTTTAAACATTGGTCAGAATTGTATCATAGAGGGTTTTAAACTATAAGTCTACCTGTAGGCAGTAGGACATTAATGAATATTTTTATATAAGGAAATGTGTTGAAAGCCATGCTCTGGGGGGAAATGCTTTCAGAGGAAGGGATATATGTTTTTTTTCAGAGATAAAGGGAGAGGGAGAGAGAGATGGAAACATCAATGATGAGAGAGAATCATTCATCAGCTGCTTCCTGCACTCCCCCTACTGGAGATGGAGCCAGCAATGTGCCCTGACCTGGCCAAGAATCGAACCGTGACCTCCTGGTTCATAAGTCAAAGCTCATCCAGTGGGCCACACCGTCTGGGTTTGCCCCTATTTTTTTAATATGGGGTAAGTATCAGAGAAACATGGGCCATAATGTAAATATGAAAAGGGATGCTATTCAGAAACAGGTTGAAATGAAGTTCAGTTCTCACGTGGTAACTTTAAAACCAAGGAGAGTCCCATATGGATGAACTGTCTGCCATGTAAGGTACTGTGGTGTCAAAGCCACACCTATTTCATAAATTACCACCAAAGTGTGAGCAAAGGAGAGACTATAGAAGAAATATATCTTCTATTTCTTTCTATATGAATATGCCTACTGTTCCTCTCCCTTTCAGAAACAAAACAGCAATAAAATTGCCACATGTGAATTTCTTGGGCTTTTGTAAAAGGCATTGTAAAATATCAGTTAAGGTGGTATGTGCCTCACTCCATTGGTAGGGAATGACAGATTCTCAAAGGCTCCCATGGAAAAGCAGAGTCACCTAAGGGTAGAGAGCCCAGAGAAAATGGCCTGTGTGCCCCCACAGCTGCACCTTGCAGTGCTCATACACTAATGAAATTGTGAAATACAGAGGTTTCCTGAAAGTGTCAGTCAGTCCCTTGAGAGATTCGTAGAAATGCAGTTTTTCATAAAGAATCCACATTCCCTATAAGTAACCTTGGTGCTAACTTTTCTGTTGGGTCACAAGAATGTTAATGGACGACCTTAAGTATACAGGTTCATAGACTATATTCAGTGGTAATTAGTCGCACTGTGTTCTTATGTAAAAGACTTACATTGCCATTCTAACTGATATGAGGCATGACAAATGAAAAATCATTAAATTTTATTATCAAATGTTGTGTGTGTGCATTTTTCCCCTGCAGATCTTGAAGAATATCCAAGCTAAATTATGTCCTGAGGGACTTAATTTTCAGCTTTAATTTCCTAAGTCCATAACCCCCTTTGGATTTGGAGAGGATTTCCAAATGAATGTTAATAAAGATTTAAAAAATCCTTGGAGGAAGAGTTCTGCTAGCCATGAAATCAATAGTAAAATTATCAGGATTAAAAAATAAGTTTTCTAAAATATATTTTATTGACTTTTTACAGAGAGAATGGGAGAGGGATAGAGAGTTAGAAACATCGATCAGCTGCCTCCTGCATACTCCCTATTGAGGATGTGCCGGCAACCAAGATACATGCCCTTGACCGGAATTGAACCTGGGACCTTTCAGTCTGCAGGCTGACGCTCTGTCCACTGATCCAAACCAATCAGGGCTAAAAAATAAGTTTTTATTTAAGAAGTTGTGCCCCTGGAAGAATACTTCAAGAAATATTTTAGAATAGAAATGCAGGAGTAAGTACACGTGTGCACTTCTATAGAGTGTTCTGGGCACGCGTTAAGTGTTTGTTGACTAAATGAATTAATCAACAAGAAAGCAGCACCAAGAGAGCTGTAAAGCAACTGTTTTATAACCATGCAACTTTCAAGCCACATCCCAAGGACGATCTACTTAAGGACACGGGTTTCACACTTTGATATTTTGCATCGAGAGGAGCCCAGTAGGAGTTAGCTAGACCCCAATAAAGGGAGGATGTCATGGACAGCCACCTCCCTCGGGGAATAACCAGCACATCATAGACAGTGATAAATGTTGGCTCAATTGAATAGTTAAATGCAAGGTCTATGCTGGAAACATGACTTTTTTTTTCCTCAAGGTCTGTGATAAAAGACTATCTTCCAGGTAAAATCACCTTGTGATATGCTTGCTGCTTCTAACACATGGAACTCGGACACGAGGAGTCAATATTAGTTTTCCCTCTGTAGAGCTTTGTCCTGCAGAGACTGAAGCTGTAGGGGTTTCATAGCAGGAGCTTCTCTCAACTGCCTTTGATAATTCATTGAAATCTCGGCATGGGTACAAATTACCCAGGAATCTGTTTTAAGTGCAGGCTCTAATTCAATGGGTCTGGCTGGAGCCTGAGACTCTGCATTATTAACAAGCTCCTGAGTGATGCTGATGATACTAGTTCCATGAATCACAGGTTGAGCAGCAAGGTCACGGAGGTAGATTTATGAGTAGAGAGAATAAGTGCGAGTGGTGTGATAGACGAGCACTGGCTCTTGACTCAGAAGATGGATTATGTGAATATGATGAGTCACCTGACTCTTCTGAATCCAAATGTTCTCATTAGAGAAAAATGAGTATAATAAGACACTAATACCTGCTGCATAGAATTGTTGTAAGAATAAAATTAATCATGTTATGTGAAAATTTACCAGAGCATATGGTAGATGTTCATTGCTGATGAAAACCATTGTTGATTCTAAATAGAAAGAACATAGGCACACGATTCAGCATTGGTAGTGGGAAAAGGTGGGGAGACCCTTTGGCTTTGCACTCTGTAGTTCCAGTCTTCCTTCCACTTCTTTTGCCAGTTACAATATCTGTCACTTAGCAAGGGATCAGTGTTTGTGGAACTGTACTAGCAGCGAAGTTGATCATTGCCACTGTATATTTTTTTTGCTTCAAAGATATTGATATTAGGAAAATGACCCAGTGTTTCCCCAAAGCACTAACAGGAGAGAGAACTGTCACCCCAAATAATGGGAATAACGTGGGGGCCTTGAGTCCTTTTTGAACCAGAAGCATAATCCCTGGGAGAAGATTAAAATAAAGAACAAAGATACAGCCTCAATTCTGCATTAAAATGTGATGATAAAATAGCCAATTGTTCTTAGACAGCCATAGTCACAATATTCCTAATTTTATAAACTATGTGTAAAAAATGTATCTCTCTTAGTTAGAAAAACAAAGACCGACAGGGGCAGTTTGGCTGGCTTGTCCCTGATGGGTGGCGTGGCTCGGCCCCCATAAGGCACCTAGTCCGCAGTGATGCAGCTGGTACTACAGGGCCGCAAGTCATCTTCCACTGCCTCGCTACGGGCTCCTGTGCACCCAGGGAAGGTCCCCACATTCCCTCTGAAGGTTTACCTTTCTGGCTAACACACTTGTAAGATATGAAATAACAACTCCCCAAAAGTGCACAGCAGGATATGGAAGGTAGAAAAATCGATGAATAACCTGCAGCTTCCTTTACGTCTTAACATCTCTTTCCACCGAGAATTCAGAGACAGAAACTGTTGACTCGAGACAGTGTTAGTTCAATTCATTTGCAATGACACCCCGAGGGAATCAGTTCATCTTTGCTCACATAAACAGATCTTAAAGTCTAATCAGAAGGTTTCAATAACGTTTTATTAAAAGATGTCCCCTCTCCCTCTGGTAATCTACAGGTCCCAGGAGAAGAAAGAAGAGGCTGTCACTTTACTGAGAGATTCCATTCGGTATGGCCCGGACTTTGCAGATGCGTATTCAAGCCTCGCTTCATTGCTGGCTGAGCAGGTGATTGTTTCCATTTCATTTCACTTAATTTTTTTTCCACAGAGTTTTGCTACTGATGGTTGAGTTTATATGCTCATATTGGACAACTAATCTCTATGTCAGTTTTCTTCTTGACAAAAATCACAAGTGTAATATTCTTACTCCAGTATTCTCTGTGAGGTGCAGGTGGTCCTTAGACAAAAGTGGTCCGTTATGCCCTGGCCTGGAGGTTCAGTTGGTTGGAACTTCATTCCATACACCAGATGGTTGTGGGTTTGATTCCCAAGAGGAGCACATACGCAGGCGACCAATCGATGTTTCTCTCTCTCTCTCTCTCAATCAACAAAAACATATCCTCGGGTCAGGGTATTTTTAAAAAGTTCATTATAGGCCTTTTGACATATTCTCTATCACTTCGGGACAAAATCTGTCAAGAACAATGCACAGTATTTGCTGGTTTTATTACTATTTACTTGTCACATTTTTCTGGGGAAATTGTTAATGTACTGCGACCTCTAAAGTCAATATGGAGCCAATTACCACTCATTTTATAGACGCAGTGTCTTAATATCGGTTAGAAGGTCACAGAGGCTTACAGTACAGGCTCCTGAGACATTTCTCTCGGCATCAAAGAGGAGTATCTCATTCCCCTCCTTCTTTTCACCTGTGTCTAAGTGATTTGGTACCACTTCTCCGTGTCCTGGATGCCTGCTCCCTGCTATGGGGAAACAAATGTAAGCTGTCTTCTCTAAAATGATGATAAGTTTTGTTGACACACTTAAGTGCCCTCGATAGACAGTAGGTTCTGCTTTCATGCAATTGCCAGATTGTCTAAAATCAAACTCAGGCCCTAACTGATTTTGCTCAGTGGAAGAGCATCGGCCTGTGGACTGAAAGGTCCCAGGTTTGATTCCGGTCAAGTGCATGTACCTTGACTGTGGGCACATTCCCAGTAGGAGGTGTGCAGGAAGCAGCTGATCGATGCATCTCTCTCATCGATGTTTCTAACTCTCTATCCCTCTCTCTTCCTCTCTGTAAAAA